AGCAGGGGTGGCCAACCCGCGGGCCGCATGTGGCCCGCCTTGAACATTTTTCCGGCCCGCGAGATTCATCACACTTTTACAAAATATATTTATTTTATCATTATTATTATATTATCTATGTTTACATGTAAGAATAATAGTAAACACAATAATAATAACTCATTATGTTTCAATTTTTCACTCCAAAAAAATGTCTATAGTGTATCTAAATCTAATATGGGGATATATAATTTTATATGTGGCCCGCGGAGTTATGATGCATTTCCAAAGTGGCCCGAAAAATCATTTGGGTTGGCCACCCCTGCTGTAAACCATTTGTTGAATGGACAGTGTCACATGCTCCTGTTTCATAAGTCAATATTACTTAGATTTTTGATTTTGGAATTGCTTTCTAGGCACCTAGAACCAATTGGCCTACGTTTTAGCTTCCTGTGTCGCTCTTCTAACGCTACAGGATAAACCGATGCTTCGTTCGCTCTGTCTGACCTGGGGTAGAAAAGTTGTCGGAAGAAGGGGTGACACCAAGAGGTACTTACGCAGGGTAGACTTTACGACGGGATTTCCAGGAACATTACCACTGATCCCCGTACTTAGATTTCCGGCAAATTCTTGGCAGTCGCTTTCCGAGATACTCTTGCCCCTTCTGTAGCCATAAAACGCTCATCACAGCTGCGCTGAACTGCGACCATTCTGCAGGTATTCTTATACCCTGCCTGCACCGTTATAAAAAAAGAGAAGCATTTTGCAAATGAATGTTTTTGTGCGAGGTTTATTTTGTTTATTCTGAAGGAGGCTGTTTTTCTGATGAGATGCGATGGCGGTTGTTAAAAATACGAAACCCTTATTTGATGGCTAGCATGCCTCACTTCTGTCTGTGTTCGATGGAAAATCTAGCTTATTCAAACCTCTTTTGAATGCAGTTTCTCCTACTTTCAGTGTGATTTAAGGATTTTTCGTCTATCCTATATTTCTTTAACAGGTTGAATTTGTAATCCTGAAAAAATTAGCGCTGTTATACTAAACCCAACAAATCTACAGGAAGTATCTGCTTTATATCTTCAATACGTTACTAGTAAATGTCAAATAATTAATTCCGTGGAGCAGACGTTCTTCAGAAACTGGCTTAACCGATAAAGAAATTATACACTTTTTATGCAACATGGAAGCTTATTATCTTCTCCACAGAATGCAGCTAAGGGACTGTATTCTGAGCCAGATTTGATGAGTCTACATCCTCAAACACTGCATTCCGAACACAATTTCTTGAAGGCACTTTTTAGTACTATGTTAAACCGATTGCCACGAAATGTTAATAAATTCTAGCCCATCAGAAAGGATTAATTAATAAGGCCACCGGTCTTAAAAGTTTGAGAAACGACGCCTTAGGGCGAGATTATTGATTTCACACAACGAAAAAGATAGATTAAGTTGTAGTTTTAAAATGTTGATCTTTAGATTTTAGATAGAAGACGGGAATATAAAGGCTTCTGAACTTAATATAATATTGGTTTGTTACAGTAGGCTTTATACAATAATATTATTATATTAGGCTACTCAATTCTTGGAACGAGACATCATTATAACAGAATATTATTACTAATTATTACAGACGCTTCAATGACGCGGGTACTACCTGCAGTGGCTAGTTTTCCCATAACCCGCCCATCACATGAGGGCGTCGTTCGGGCGGAGGCGCATGTGACATCGCATTTGGCACTTCCCGCCCAGTTTCGTGGGAAGGGAAATGGGCGATGGCCCACTGCCACCACACAATAACAGATTCCAGTGCACTGAAACGGGACCCATCTACGTGTCTTCTCTGTTCGTCAGTGTCGGTAAGATATAAACCTTTCTTGGACTATGTAGTCCTAATTTGAAGATCCTGATGTAATCTCTTTTCCAGACAACGATGACGAATTCGTGGTTAACCGAAGAAAATGTCGTAAATGTGATTCAGAAATATTATGTGACGCATACAGAAAGCCAGTAATGACGCCACGTTAGGAGCTTTATTGTGGACAGAAACCAAATTTCGAAACGATTCGGAACCCACTTATCCCAGAAATTTTAACTCAATACATACCTGAAGTTATTACTACGTAGTTCAAATTTGCATATTATTACGGATACCTTTTTAGGCACTAATAATTTTGATTGTGGTAGACCTATAGGTGGAAACCAATAATCGCCTCCATCTTCATACGACTTCAAAATCCATAAGAAAATCCACATTTCCCCCCCCCCCCCCCGAATCTATCAGCTGTTATGTCATAAACATTTATTTCCATACTTTCTGTAATTTTCCTTAGGATCTAACATTGAAACATATTCAAAGTTATAATTTGGACTTCGTTAACTTTAATATAGACTCTCGGGTAATTATTTAATCAGTTTACTTATCAATGTGCATGCAAACTGCGTTTTGACTCACATAATCTGCAAAGGACTAGTGTTTATATTGCGAGGTTGTTCAGAGATGGCGTTCATGTAGAGAAATAAATTGTGTAATTTGATTAGTCAAAGTCACACGACAAAATATCTGCCTCAGAGATACCTAAAGTCGTCACTCTCAGTGCCACAGAACACTCATTAGAGAAATTTTCGTCGTTATTTGTTGTAGGCGAGTTTTAGCTGCTGTGTGGTAAAATGGAAATTTGTGAGGGAGAAAGAAATGTTCTAATTCAGAATGACATAAATGAGGAAAAAGCCTAATCAGCGCACTCTGGTACGCATAATTCCCACATAACACGGGTACAACGGTTTCAAGAAAGGCAGCATCATAAGCAGTTCTAAAAACAAGAACTGTCTGTGGATAGCAAGCAGCTTGTTAAAACGGATCTAATTAAGTTCACCTTGCGGTGGTGATACTACTCAGAGAGAAAGGCGAAGGTAAATTGGGATGAAAGAAGTCTTACTAGCAGCACACACAAACGGAAGAGGGTGGGAAATTGTGATGATGGGGAGGAGAGAATCCTCTGGTATCAAAACTCTCTCCCAAACCGCCACGAGTCGTCAAATGGATGGGAGAGAGGGAGTGCGAAGAATGGCTCACATTGCAACTTCGTACGCAGTTGCATCAAGTTACTGCGTCCTAACCAGCCTAGCACTAGGTACCTGGGACAGAGCGGCCGGAGTTCGAAGCTGAGCACTCAACTCAATCTAGTACCAGGATTATGTTGTTGTTTTTTTGGCTGGCCTTGTAATCCTGGGGTCTCGGGTTCGATTCCCGGCGGTGCCAGAATTTATAACTTGTGTTGGGCAAGGCCGTGGTCTAGGCAACACGGAGTTTTCCTCCGTGGCATCCCAACAATTACTCCATTCACACACAGAAGAAGGCAATGGCAAACCACTTCTGGATCATCTGCCAAGATCGTATATGAACAGGTCCCAGTCCGAGAAAAGGATGGAAGGATCCTGTTCATATGGACCTGTCGTCAGACAGAACACTAAATAATAATAATAAGGGCCAAATAATGACTGTAATCGCCGAGGATAAATTGACATGAAGAAAATAGGCCTTATGGACGACCTTTCAATCCTACTTTTTATCTACAAATTAAAGACACTGAAACGCTTATCAAATTTACGTTAGAAGTTCTTCTTGTGGAAAGTAATATCGAAGTCGATTCTTGACTCTGTGGATTTAGACTATTACGTGAGATTATTTTCACTCAGTTTACGGCTTTCATACTAAAGGGAATAAACTTCCGAGTTATGTAACGACACGAAGGTTCTTGAATAGTTGAGCGTCTGTCAAGTTCTCAGGAAGTGACCGTATCATATACTTCGCTAATTACTCGGTCTGCCTGACAAACACTGAATGGAGTAATTAAGAGTAGCTGTAATTAATTGCATAATGGAGCTAATAGAGCAATATTGAAATTTCAAATTGGAAAAGCTCTTCTTTGCCTGGAGGGTGGATATACCTGAAGCGTACTCGCTCAAACGCGAGGTCGAGAATGTAAGAAGTTTCTTTCCGTGCCATCCGTACACCTTGTGACGCGTCTCAAGCAAACTTGTCAGAATGCGTCTGAAATGTAAATTGAATTTGAATGATACGAGGTTTTCACTGCGGTGAGACTGATGATAATGTTCTTCTCGATTTTAGCACCGTGTAAACTCGTCGACGTTTCGGAGAAACATATTGTCTTGATCATCAGGGCTTAATTTTATTAGCGTACATTGTGCACATTTCAAAATATTCTTTAAATTTTTTCTTGTTTTTATGCAACGAAATGGTGTTCGGACTTATATAACTATTCGTAATCATTTTCAAATATCAGTTTTGTCTTTATAACTACTGTACTGATAGACGAGTTTCAAACAACTGACGACACACATACGTAACTTCTTTTCTGCAAAAGTGTAGGACTTTAGGTAGGGAAACAATGAACATCAATGCTTACGTTAAGTACGATGTGAACCAGCGTTTATACTCTGTCTCGCTCGCTCGGTGCGATGGTGATGCACCCACACACATACACTGCTTCTGGTTTTATTTGGTTGGGTTGGGCTAATGAGCATGTTGGCAGACTTCAATAGGCTCCAAATGAAAAACGCTAGCTCCCCTTCTAATTAGGGCTTTGATTCCGATTTGCGGTGGGCCTGCGGTGAGGTCTGTTGAGGGTGGAAGAGGTGTGGAGGAGAGATGAGGTTACACGGATACGTCTAGAATCAGCAACTAGCTAGCAGACAGACATACTCATAATTATGACATTTAAGTATGATGCATAACTCGAAGCTAGTTACCAGGGGTGATCTGGTTCCGTGGTTCTCATCGTCGACAAACTGAAATGTTTTTGAGACATTTGTTCTATTTGCATAGCTCAGTAATAAAGAAATCTGAATTTACAAAGGAGTCATGTGAGTGTCTTTGTAGTTCATGTTGTAAACTATACGTCTAATCGATTACTATACGTATGAGAATGCACATAAATCCCTAGTCGGGAAAGACCACTTGAGAAACCTGAATATACATTGGAGGATAACATTAAAATGATCTAATAATAATGATAATATTAAAATAGATCATATTGCAATAGACCGTGAGGGTGTGAACTGGATTATACTGATTCCGGGTGAGATCCATGGAAGGAAACTGTGAATATGAGGATTGACCACGAAACACAAGTAACTCCTTAATCAGCTAAGCGACTGTCAGGTTCTAAACTAGGCCTCTGCCTCATTGTGTATGTTTTCTATGAATGAATTCAGTAATGTGTGAACACTTTTATTAGGATAAAGCTAATATTTAAGTAAATCTTCGTTGGATTTTTCTGGTCAGAATATGTGGGTATGGGTTGGTTAGAAATTATGAATTCTGCATTTTGTCTAGTGTCCTAACTTCATTTATTACCCCTGAATTTGGCTTAATCTGCCCCCAGCCTTACAATGCATTTAATGGAGTACAGCCACTGCAGTGACTGGCACAAATGATGTCGTGTCAGGCGAGACAGCATTTCGTAATTAGTGAAGAGAGTTCTCAGCGGCGTAAGTTGACATTTAGGAATAATTAAAATAGGTCTATGTCCCCGCAACATTTGTAGCTATTAAAAGAATTCATGTCGCAAAAGATTTATCTCCCCTCATAGCAATAAGTTCGAAAAAAAGAACAACAACTGAAGTTTAGACCTTGCGTATGACAAATTAAACTAGCCTATAACCTTTACTGGTGGGCTGTGGTTTTCCGAGATCT